TGTTTGAGGTGGAGTTTCGCTCCTGTTGCCCAGGGTGGAGTGCAATGGTGCAATCTTGGCTCACCGCAACCTCCGCCTCCCGGGTTCAAGCAGTTCTCCTGCCTCAGCCTCTCAAGTGGCTGGGATTATAGGCATGTACCACCACGCCTAGCTGATTTTGTGTTTTTAGTAGAGACGGGGTTTCACCATGTTGGTCAGGCTAGTCTCGAACTCCTGACTTCGGGTGATCAGCCCACCTTGGCCTCCCAAGGTGCTGGGATTTACAGGCGTGAGCCACTGCACCTGGCCACATTCCTTTATTTTTGAGTGTTTCAGAAATCTGTTGAAATTTCTTATGTACACTGATGGTGTCCATCCTGTTTTCTTTGTTGTAGGGGTTTTATATCTTTATTTTCTTACTAATTACATTAAATAGTCTTAGAGATAAAATGAGTCTACCTATAAGCCTGGGAACATGGTGAGACCCCATCTCTACAGAAAACACACATGTGCCTTTGGTCCCAGCTACTTAAGGAGGCTGAGGTGTGGGAGTATCACTTGAGCTCCAGAAGTCGAGGCTGCAGTGAGCTTTGATCATGCCACTGCAGTCTATCCTGGGCGACAGAGTGAGACCCTGTCTCAAAAACAAAAATAAAATAAAATAAAATGAGTCTACCTGGTCGGTCATTTTTCCCCATATTTTTATTTTTAAACATCAGAAATTGAAATGTACTAAGAAAGTAACTTGAACACTAAATCCCTAAAAATGATATAGTGATCTCACAATTCCAGAAAATGATTCTCGATTTCATGTTCTGTTTTATAACTATAAGGAGTATATATACATACAACTTTGCTGTGGATAATGGCAAAAACATTAGCAGGGGTGAGTGACTGAGCTGTAATGTTTTTAGGTTTTTATTTTGTTTTGTTCCTGTTCTTACTACCACCACCCTAATCCAGGCCTTTTTCTAATTTATTGCTGATATTGAAGGAGTCTTTTTTATTGTGCCTTAGTTTCTTATATGCACATTGCCGCCAAAGCCATCTCTTAATAAAAGGTTTGATGAATGTTATAACAGTAATTGAAATTTTTCCCCTAAAAAAAAAAGAGTAAAGACCAGTTCTTTTACCTTGGTATTCAAAGACTTTTCTTTGACTCCCATGGTTCTCAAAGCGTGATCCTGGTCCACCATCATCAGCATCCCTGGCAATGTGTTAGCATTGCAAATTCTCATTCCTCCCTAATTTTCTGAATCAGAAATTACAGAGGTGGAGCCCAGTAATCTGTGTTTTAACCAAACTTCCACATAATTCTAATTAATTTATGCTTTGAGAACTGCTGATCTACTTTGTCCCTCTCATTTTGCAGGCAAAGAATTGAATTCTAGAGCAGTTAATTGACTTGTCCAAAGTTATACAGCTAGGTACAGTTTTCTATTATTTGTTTATTTTATTTTATTTTTTTTTCAAAAACAACAAAAGATACTTTATTAAAAATAGGCAATAATTTAGTTCATCAAAAGCTTGGCAATTTGTTTATTTTTTTTTCATTCACTTTACCCCCAGTATTCATAGTTTTCTTTCTAATACTCCATATTTGACTTGACTTTTTACAAGTTGTAATTACAAACAAGTCTAAGATGGGAAAGTTGTGGACGACTTTATGGAGAACATGAGATTTGACTGAACAGTAAACATAAAGCAGAGAAAAAAAAGAGGGGTGTTCTAAGCAGTAGGACCACAGTGAATAAAGGTATAGATAGGTAGGTTAAAAAAAAGAAAAAAGAAAAAGTCCTGGGGACAGAATTGGCAAATTGAACTAATAACAGCTAGGTTTTCCTTTATAGGAATAAATTAATTATTACAGTACCTGATGTGTTAATAAATGTTAACTGCTCATTATTATTGTCAGCTGGTGTTATTGGTTGTATTGTTGATTTTGTTGTTACCATTATTAGGGAAGCCAAACAGAACCGAGGTTAAGACTGTGGGTTTCTGAATCGAATCTCAGCCCTGCCACTTACTTTTTGATTTCCAGAAAGTTAATCTCTCCTAAACTTCAGTATCCACATTTGTAAAATGGGAATAATAGTATCAATCTCATAGGGTGGTTGTAACAAATGAGAAAATGTATGCTGATGCTCTGACTGCTTTATAATAAGTACTTTAATTAATGTCAACTATTTTATGTCTTGACTTGATAAGTCATTTGATTCTGAGTGACTTAAATAATGTCAAAAATCATATTTATTCTTAAAGGGTAAATTTGTCATGATTAAAAAGAGTTCACAACTATGGCCAAGGCAGAAAACCTTAATAACAGGGGACTAGTTAAGTAAACTTTAATAACAAGGGACTGATTAAATTATGGGACATTGATATCCTATAGCCATTGAAAACTGTGTTTCAGAAAAAATTATATGAGGTGCATCATGAACTTATTTCATACTCATGATATAGTAACAATGAAAAAGAAAGATACCAAGCAGTACATAGTGTCTCAAATTGTGTAACTCATTTAAAACATTGCTCAGAGAGTGTTATTTGAGCATATTCTTTGGTGGCTCACTCCCATAATCCCAACACTTTGGGAGGCCGAGGCGGGCGGATCACAAGGTCAGGAGATTGAGACCATCCTGGCTAACACAGTGAAACCCCATCTCTACTAAAAATAGAAAAAATTAGCCGGGTGTGGTGGCACGCGCCTGTAGTCCCAGCTGGTAGGCTGAGGCAGGAGAATCACTTGAACATGGGAGGTGGAGGTTGTAGTGAGCCAAGATCACGCCACTGCCCTCCGGCCTGGGTGACAGAGTGAGACTCTGTCTTAAAAAAAAAAGAATATTCTTAAACTGAGGCATTGAGTAACTGTTTTCTCTTTTGTGTATTTTTCTTTATTCACATTTTCTAAGTGAACATACTTTTATAATTTGGAAAGAATTCATGTGATACATACTTTGAAACTGGCAGAATTGTTGGAATAGTTCTATAGCATCTCCAAATGACTACTGATACTTTAAAAGGAACAGGATTAATTTTGATCTGTGGTCAGCACTTGGCATTTGTGGATTTAACATTATCTTCTAAGCTTCTAGAACCATTCTAAATACCTGTCATGAGTAATATTTTCTAATAGGAATCATTATTTCTACCTCATAGAGTTTTTAGAAGATTAAATTGGATATTTTTTTTTAAGCCTCCAGGTGGAATTTGAAATATATTTTGAGTGGATCTTGCTAACTTTCAGTATCCCATCTCAATTATGATAATAGCTAACATTGAGAGGTCATCTCTGCCAGGTACTGTTAAGTATTATCAATCTTAGTTAATCGTCACAGTAATTTTATAAGATAGGCACCATGATTATCTCCATTTTATAGATGAACTGAAAATCAGTGAAGGAGCCTAAGTTAAAGAGGTTGAGGCACTTATGCAAGATAACAGGGTGGCTACTAAGCCAGGAATGTGACCAAGAGCCAGTCTTTTTTGAGCCTGAATCCTTAGTCATTGTGCTATACTGTCTCCACATACTACTATTTACAATACTAAAACATCTGAGGAGCTACCTATTAATAAAATAAAGGGTCTTATTTAATATTGTTATATTTTTATATATTTGAATAAATATATAAATACTTTTCCATATGACATGGAAAAGTATTATTTTTTTAAATTCCTGGGCCAGGCACGGTGGCTCATGCCTATAATCCCAGCACTTTGGGAGGCCAAGGCAGGTGGATCACGAGGTCAGAAGTTCAAGACCAGCCTGGCCAATGTGGTGAAGCCTTGTCTCTACTAAAAATACAAATATTGGCTGGGCTTGGTGGTGTGCGCCTGTAATCCCACTACTAGAGGGCTGAGGCAGGAGAATGGCTTGAACTCAGGAGGTGGAGGTTGCAGTCAACCAAGATTGTGCTGCTGCACTCTAGCCTGGGTGACAGAGCAAGACTCCGTCTCAAAGAAAAAATTCTTCAAATTAAACATTTCCAAAAGTTTTATGCCCCGTTCCGTGGTATTATTTTATAGGCTAATATACTCTTAGTAAATATATCCAGTATTATTTAGCAAAATTAACTGGATAACAGAGATAGAGTATGGGGCTCTGGAGCTTAACCATCTGATTTCAAATTCTGCCTCTGCTGTTTAATACTGTGTGACCTAGCGTGAGTTGCCTAACCTCTCTTTGCCTGGTCTCTCCTCATCTGTAACATAGGAATAATAATATGTCCCTTATGAAGTTGATGCACGGATTCAATGAGTTGATACACGTATGAAACACTTGAAACAGTAGTGCCTGTACATGTAAGTTTTCAGTAAGTATTAGGTACACTGTTAGCAGTAATAGTACTATTTATTTGAATTACTATCATTATCATTCATCATCATTTGTATTGATATAATAAACTTTTAAAAGACACCCAAATTACTTTGTAGTGAAAAGTAAAAATAAAAACATTATATCTAGAGTCCATTGACTTAAAAATTATTTTGCTACCATTTATTGACTTTCTAACCTTAAGCATTTCACTTAACCTTAAGGGCCTGAACTGCCTGTCAGTAGAACAAATTAATACCTTTCTTGTCAGGTGATTTATTGATTTGTAAAAAACATTCCTAGAAATCATGTTGCAGTACCACAAATTACAGTCAAACTATGGGAAAGAACTGATGATGCTGAGCCGCCTCCTCATCCTTTTCTCTCTCTGGTAAGGTCCATTTTTCTCCTTTTAATAAAATGGTTGCTGGCTGTATGCAGGGTCTCACGCCTGTAATCCCAGCACTTTGGGAGGCCGAGGCAGGTGGATCACCTGAGGTCAGGAGTTCGAGACCAGCCTGGCCAACATGGCAAAACCCTGTCTCTTCTAAAAATACAAAAATTAGCAGGGTGTGGTGGCAGGCACCTGTAATCCCAGCTATTCAGGAGGCTGAGGCAGGAGAATCGCTTGAACCTGGGAAGCAGAGGTCGCAGTGCGCCAAGATAGCGCCATTGCACTCCAACCTAGGCAACAGAGCGAGACTCAGTCTCAAAAACAAAAACAGACAAATAAACAAAATGGTTGCTTGATGCAGAGAATATTAGCATGGCCCCTGCCCAAGATTGACACACAAATTTATAAAGCATTCTGTATTTAAAAAGTTATTTCTCGTGTGAATTCACAAAGGAAAGGTTAAGCATTTAATGCTTATAAGAATATAGCCATATTTTCATTTTGCTCTTCATACGTCACGCTCTTGCTCTCACCCTCCTTGGCCATTAAACTAAAGACATTTCTAGAAATTTCTGAATTTTATGTGAAAATACATTAGGGACAGGCGCTAAATTGTTTTCTTTTAAGCTGTGTGCATATGATGATTTGTGTGTCCTATTTTATACTTTTATAACACCTACGTGTGTCCTTGGTATGGCACTTACTATATTGCTTTGTTTACATATCTCACTCCCCTACTAGAACAGTTCCCTTAGTGATGGACCTTTATATTCACAATGACTAGCAAACAGATGAAAATTAATAGGCCAGGCATAGTGGCTCACACCTATAATCCCAGCACTTTAGGAGGCCGAGGCGGGTGGATCATGAGGTCAGGAATTCGAGACCAGCCTGGCCAGCATAGTGAAACCCCATCTCTACTAAAAATACAAAAATTAGCCAGGCATGGTGGCATGCGCCTGTAGTCTCAGCTACTTGGGAGACTGAGGCAGGAGAAACGCTTGAACCTGGGACGCGGAGGTTGTGGTGAGCCGAGATCATACCACTGCACTCCAGCCTGGGCAGCAGAGTGAGACTCTGTCTCAAAAACAAAAGGAAAAGAAAAGAAAAAATTAATAACATTTAGTTGATAACGTGTGAATCCAAGGTTAGGCTAAAGCTAGGTTTGACTTAATTGTTAATTTGTGGCTATGGCCATTCTGGTCTTGAATTAATGATATATTTGATACTCTAGCCATATCAGCTTCTACTTGGGCATAACACTACTTTTGAATTACTTTGTCCAATTGAACTTGGATTGAACTTAAGTATTTTAAATCTTTGGAAGTTACTAACTTAAAAAAATGTTTTCTTGCTTGTTAAAATAGAAAATAATTATTGTATGTATTTTATGAATTTTAAACTCTTAGGAAATACTGAACGTGAAAAACTAGGGGAACAAATATGTGAATGGAAGGAAACATTTTTAAATGTTCCATTCTGGGGAGAGACTATTTTATACTCCTTTTCCCAAAAGCAATGAGAGAAAATGTCTTGGGAGAACAGAATGTGATATGTAACAGGAAGGAATTAAAATAAAGTTAAGCTATTCTCAAGAGACTTTAATCCTTGAATTAGTAGTTGTCAGTTGGAGATTTTCTTTTTAATCAAACTAAAGTTATGAACTTTTGTCAATTCTGGGCTCACAGGCATTTTTTACTTATTTTTTAAATTCATTTCAAATTCATGAATCTGTGGACATTTTCTATATAGAGTGTTGTTAATTTTGACATCAACAGATAACAGTCCACTTTACATCATATGGCTACCCCTCAAAAATTGAATGGCATGTCTACCATGAAACAGTATTGTACCCGTATGTACATTATGATAGCTATGATGGCTAGTCTATGCTTTCTGACTCCCCATTCCTAGTGTAGTGTATTTTCAGAGGGACAAAATTCTCTGTTCCAACTCAAATGACTCACTAATGCTTGAGATCTACATATTTAGTTTTATCTTGGGCATTTCCACTTGAATGTCTCACAGGTACCTCAAAACTCAAAATCCAGACGCTTAACTCATCTTTTTTCCGCACCCTCAGCCTCCAAAGTCACTGCCTTATAGTACATGGCACCACCATCCATTGGATTGCCCAAATCAGTATTAATTTGGTTCCAACCTCTTCTCCACCCCCAGCCCACCATATCCACTCATCAAGTTTTATGAGCTTTATCTTGTAATGTATCTCATATATCCATTTCTTCCTCTGTAGCCATCTTCCTCTCTGAGTTGTATTGTGCTGTAGTTCTGTTACTCGTCTCCTCCCACCAGTGCTATTCATTTCCAGTTGTTTTTACATTGTTTGGATGATCTTCCTAAAACCAAAATCAGAACACATTACTGTTCTTTTTAATACCCTTCAGTGACTATATTTTGTTTTTAAGATAAAGTCTAAATTCTTTTAAGTGCTTGTAACAGCCTTTATAATTTGGCCTCTGCTGCATAGTATAGCCATACATATGGAGCAGCTGGCAGTTCCTGAATACCTGTGCTGGAGATGAGCACCTTCAGGTCTTCACATACACTGTTCCTTCTGCATGACTCTCAGTTATCATCCACTTCTCAGCTTGGACTTTCTTCATCAGAAAACCGTATGCCGATACCCACATCATCTAAGATTGGATTAGATGTTCTTACATATTCCCACAATACTTTGTGCTTATCCTTATCAGCATGTGACACACTTCATTATTACTGCCTGTTTAGTTGTCTGTCTCTTAGGCTCTTGAAGAGCAAATACAATATTCTGTTTGATTGACCTGTTTCACCAATACCTAGCACAGTACATGGCAAGATTTGGCTTCTGAAGATTGTTACTGAGTAACAAAAATGCACTTTTTTTTTTTTTTTTTTTTTTTTTAGTCATTTTAAGTATAATGATTCTTGTAGTGGCAACAATTCAATGTAAGAGTGTGTGTGTGTTAATAACTGAATACATTAATGGAAGTATTATGTAGCAGTATCCTAAATAAATAATTTTAAAATGTGACTGTATATAAAATCTGAAACATTTGCTTACAGCAAGTCAAGCTTTTAAAAAGGAGTTTTTTAAATTATAACTTTACTTTTGGGCTCTCTACTATAAAATATTTAAATTTTAAGTAAATCATTTAACTTTATAAGTATTTAAATTTTGTCTTGATTTCCATTTGTGAATTTTTTTAGCAGTTAGAGAAAAGCTGTGGTAGTTTCCAACTGTGTTAGAAACAGTTGTCAAGTGTGGTTCCTTTACACCATGAGACTGGGAGCTGTTTCTAAACACAAAGTTGTTAGTAGCGCAGATTTGCCTAAGTTTCCAATCTGATCTGTGACTACGGGTAAGTAAATTGGAATTTGTATATTTGTGGGGAAAAAAACTTCCTTAGTTTATAACTTCGAATGTGTAGACTTTAACCCCCAGCCAATCAATAGTATAGTTTTTTGCAAACTTTCAAGGTAAAAGGTATATAAAAATCAAGGTATTCTGCTAGCCTCAGAATAAATAGAGTCAAGACACTTAGGAATCTTATTTGAATCCTAAAATAAATTTTCAGTGCTACATTTATTATCAAAGATGTCAAAGATTATTTTTTAATTAAAGAAACATGTTTATTTTCCAGAAGCCTTTACTTATTTCTGTGGTTCCTATTAATAGTGAAGATTGTAGTGTATTTATAGCATAGGATTTGTAGTAAAATCTAGAAATTATAAAATAAATTTTGATATTATGTATGTGTGTGCAAATAGCATACTTTTAAATTGTATATTAACTTTTTGTCCTTTAAGACAGTGGTCCGCAACCTTTTTTGGCACCAACGACTGGTTTTGTGGAAGACAGTTTTTCCACGGACTCAGAGGGGTTGATGGTTTCAGAATGAAACTGTTCACCTCAAATCATCAGACATTAGATTCTCATAAGAAGTATACAACCTAGATTCCTCGCATGTGTAGTTCACAGTAGGGTTCACGCTCCTATGAGAATCTAATGCTGTGGCTCATCTGACAGGAGGCAGAGCTCAGGCAGTATTGCTTGGTCGCCTACCACTCACCTCCTGGGTGGCCCAGTTCCTAACTGGCCCTGGGGATTGGGAATTTCTGCTTTAAGAGAACTGATAAAGGTGTAGTGAAAGATATATATGTGTATGTGTGTGGTTTTCTGTTTTTTGTTTTATTGAGATGGTGTCTCATTCTGTCACCCAGGCTGGAGTGCAGTGGTGCCATCTCAGCTCACTGCAAGCTCTGCCTCCAGGGTTCACACCATTCTCTTACCTCATCCTCCCGAGTAGCTGGGACTACAAGCACCTGTCACCACGCCCGGCTAAATTTTTTGTATTTTTAGTACAGAGGGGGTTTCACCATGTTAGCCAGTATGGTCACCATCTCCTGACCTCATGATCCACCCGCCTCGGCCTCCCAAAGTGCTGGGATTATAGGCGTGAGCCACCGCGCCCGGCCATATGTGTGTGTTTATATACACACACAGTCTCTCTAACATAGTCATGCGCCACATAACGATGTTTTCATCAACAACAGAGACTGTATATGACAGTGGTCCCAAAACATTGTAATACCATATTTCATTTATTTGTTCGTTTGAGGTGGAGTCTCACTCTGTCACCCAGGCTGGAGTGCAGTGGGTATGATCTTGGCTCACTGCAACCTCCTGGGTTCAAGCGGTTCTCCTGCCTCATCCTCCTGAGTAACTGGGACTACAGGCGTGTGCCACCACGACTTGCTAATTTTTGTATTTTTAGTAGAGACAGGTTTTCACCATGTTGGCCAGGCTGGTCTTGAACTCCTGACCTCAGATGTACCACCGCCTTGGCCTCCTAAAGTGCAGGGATTACAGTTGTGAGCCGGCACGACCAGCCTTCTCAGAACGTGTTCTTACCTTTAACAAGTGATTGTATGTGTCTGCATTGTCCAATTAAGGGTAGCTGCTAGCTGCATGTGACTTTTTAGCACTTGAAATATGCCTAGTCTGAATAGAGGCATGCTGTAAGTGTTACACATGCGTACTATTTTCAAAGATTTAGTATGAAAAAAATGTAAATTATCTCAATAATTTATATTTACATGTTGAAATGATATACTTCAGATTTAATATGTTAAGTATATTAAAATTTCGCTTTTTTTTTTTAATGCAGCTAAATTACATATGTGGATCACGTTCTATTTCTGGTGGACATTTTTTCTAACTAAAAATAAGTGTTTCTGTAAATTATGGTTAAAATTGAACATTTTTGATAGTTATTTTTAAGTCTTTGATTACAACTTGACATTTAATCATTGGCATTAATATTCTATTAGATGTAAAAATGAAAATTATAAAATGAATTTTATTTTATTTTATTTTGTTTTTGAGGCAGTTTCGCTTTTGTTGCCCAGGCTGGAGTACAGTGG